GAGCCGGGAGACCAGCTTCAGGGAGCGGCCACGTGGGTCAGAAGTCTGGGGATCAGGGCCAGGGCTAGCGCTGCCCTTGCATGACCCTGGGAGTGAGGTCCTCTTTAACGTGTGTGCACTAAGCACGTCCTTGCCTTACCTCAGTCCCAAGCCCTGCTGAAGATGGGGAGGCATGGCTACCTCTGAAAGAAATACATACCCGGTCACATAGGTCATTTCCTACGCCATCATAATCGCATTGGGAGAATAACCAAAAGCCAGATACTTGCACATGAAAAGCCGTCCTTCAATTTCCTCCTCATAAGGGGACCCAGCAGCATGGAACAAGATGTGTCCAAGGCCCATCTTGACACTGCTTACTCCAGAAATCTCTCCTCTCTGCGTCTGAAATGGCTACAGCAAGCACTCTCCCAGGTTCTCACCACTCGTGTATGCATGACCTGGCTCTCTGAATGACCTACACCCAGAAGTGGCCAGCCACCTGCATCCTGACAGGTGCCAGAACTTTAACATTAAGGTTCCTGTCAGTAATGAGCACTTCCAATAACCAACTCCTGGAACACTGAATATCTCAAGTCTGGCACAGGATTCGCCCACCCCGTTGGTACTGCTTTTCTCTCCTCTGTTTTTCTTCTTCTTGCTTTAAAAGTAGGCATCCACAGTAATGTTTTAAATGTAGGAACTTGATTTCCCAGGAAGCCTACTACTCTCTCAAACTTCTCAGTTGGAGAAACTAACTTGGCAAGAGTTGCATGTCACCTCTACCTTTTTGGCTTTCTTGATGAGGTGAGCCCCCTGGCCTCCTCCTGAAATAGCGCTTTCTGGGATTGTGGCTCAATGACCAGAAGAATAATGGGGGTGGGGGGAGAGGAAGGTGGGGAGTTGTGGAGGGAGACCAGGAACTGGAGCCGAGGAAGATAGTCTCAGATTTTCTTTCTGGTTTTAGGAACACATAGGAAAACTAGGAGCCACGGAAGTGGGAAGGACTTATGGCTCCTCAGGAATGGAAAAAGTGAGGGTGAAAGGGTTATTCACTGTACACATTTTTTCCATTGGTTACTTTACTTAAAGAGACTATGTCATTTCCCTGGAAAATCGAGGAGGGGGGATATTTTCTTTTGAATATCTTCAAACATTTGCAAATGGTTACTCTAAACTCCCCAATGTACCATAAACAAGTGTAAACTGTAGAAATTCAGAAAATGTGCAAATACAAACAGTTATCCCCAAGCTCCAAGGCAAAGGCAGAGAAGGGTGTATCCCATTTATAAATGGAATTCTTTGTGGATAGAATAGTTTGGGAAATGTTTATACATTGTTTTCCTTATTATTTGGGGGGATATCCCCCCCCCCCCCGAGCTTACAGAAGCTGCAGAACTGGTATTTGAAGTCTTAAAAGTTAAAGATTAAAGAAAGTTTACAACCTTTTAAAATCTCCAACTAAACTTCATCAGTTCTGCATCTGGGGAAATATCTGCCCATTAAGATAATATGTAATCATATCAACAAACAAGAAGGCATAGAGTCAGCTAACCAGGAACAGGATAACTTCAAAATGGGGGGAGGGGGGTGTGTGTGAAACAAACAAAAAAAAACCCCTCACTATAATTTGACAAGACCTAGTACATAGGATGACTTTCTTGAAGACAACTATGGCTACCTGGATTCAAAGATACAACTGCTTTGAATCTATCTAAAATGGAGTGGGGGGGGGGGGGAGTAATCCAGTATGAGGGTGGTGGTATAGTGAAAAGAATAAAGAACACTGATTGAAGCTACTGACTCACTGAACTATGAGAAATACTATAACGAGTCACCAACAAGCAGGTGAAAAAGCCACTCACCTGCACCCCACCCAGCAAACTCAGGTTTGTTTTAGGTTTGTAATGCGTTCCACTCTGGCTTTGAGTCATCACCAAACAGTCAGTGTTCACTGTCAGGGTGCAAAAGCCACGCGACCCTTTATTTAACAGATGCATTTCCAATCTCTACAACCACAGGCACGGGCTGGGTTTCTGAAGGCAGAGCAGCAGCAGCCCAGGAAGGGTGCGAGGGCGTGATGAATGATGGCAGGTTGAGACTGTGCTGCGAGGTGACTCGGAACGACAGAGGGCAAGAGAAAATGTGATTTAGTGGAGGAGAGGCGGTGCTTCCCCATCTTAAATCACGTGCCTTGTCACCCGCGGTAGCTGGCAAAGCCTGAGAGTCCCAGGCGTTAGAGGAAAGCTGTAATTTCTTGGGGGCGGGGGCCATCGTAAAAAGAACTCACTACTCTCAAGGGGCTACGGCCTGCATCTTCTGAAATTGGCTAAAGCCAGGTTAGTATTTTTGGTAACGACTCTGGTGCACACACAAGACCCTCACCTGCTTCTTTATTCAGAAACATAGATCATCCAAATAGCCACCCTATATTTCATGCTTTTATGGGCTTTTGGCCAGAGGCACTTAGGCTACTATGGCCCAGAGGCACTAGTCTTGACCTGGCGGTCACTTCTCACTCCAGTCCTGGTAGTAAAATCTTTCCTCTTCCCATTTTTTCCTTTTCTGTCACTTGAATGAATGATATTAGAATGTGTTTAAAATGACAATTCCAGTGCTCCCGGGCTTTCTGAAGGCCATCACTTTTTTTTGGGGTCCCACGTCTCCCCATTACTCACTGCTTTGTCACCCGGATGAAAAGACTCTGGTGGGGAAATCTGGGGCGTTTTCAATTGCGGCAGCTCTGAGAAGGCTGAGGCCATCTGTCTTCAGACGGCAGAACTTGTAGACAAAGAAGCGAGAGGAAATGGCGAATTGGTTTTAAGTACTCTGCTCCTACTGGCAAAGCCATCCATGGAAAAGGAAACCTCAAACTATGATTGCTGAGAATCCCTTCTTTTACCACCCAGCAAGCCCCTCCTGGCTCTGCGCTTCCCAGGCACACTCTGGCTGTCAGTTACACACACGCTCCTGTAAAGACGCTGGACCTAGGGCAGTGGTCGGCAAACTCATTAGTTAACAGAGCCAAATATCAACAGTACAATGAATGAAATTTCTTTTGAGAGCCAAATTTTTAAAACTTAAACTTCTTCTACCACCACCTCTTCAAAATAGACTTGCCCAGGCTGTGATATTTTGTGGAAGAGCCACACTCAAGGGGTGAAAGAGCCACAGTTTGCCGATCACGGACTTAGGGGCAATGGTCTAGACACACCACATCGAGTATTCTGGTCCGCACCTACATTGCCCACTGTGGACTAATGGGTTGTCATTCTAAGTTTGTTGTTATGAAAACAAGAATTGGACACTGTCAAAAACAAAACAAAACAAAACAAAATAAAAAACACAAAAAACAAAAAACAAAACTGAACCCTGTCCAAACACTTAGAGAAGTTGGTAGGTAGGCTTGGTTTTTCTATAGGGACTTTCTCCTCAGACAACTTTGTTGGGTAAAAGAATTTTATCAAGCACTGTAATAAGGGGACCCACTAGCCTATTCTCTTTTGATGGTTTAAGGAAAATGTAGCTCTGGAGTCAGACAGGCTGGATTTGAATATCAACTCTGCTCTCTCAGTTGATGATCTTGGACAAGTTACTCAATTTCTGTCTCAGTTTCTTCATCAGTAAAATGAAGACAACACTACTTGTTGTCAGGCTTGGGTCTGAATAAATACTATTGAAAAGCACTCAGAAGATGGCCTGGTCACCACTAACGTGAGCGGTTGATCTTCCTGCGCACTTCCCCTCCCGGGCCTCCTCCTGCCTGGGCTTTCCTTCCCACCCTCTGGAAATGCCTCAAGGGCAGCACTGCATCCTCTTCCCCCATCTCCCCAGATCCTGGAAGGAGCTCTGCACACGTGTGGTGCTCAGTGACTGTTCATTTCCCTTCCTCTTTTCTCCATAAAGCTAATAAACCTCAACTGAATGCCAGCCTGGTGCCTGCCCTTTTGGAAAGGGGGCACGCTCTGGCTCTGGGTTTGGCAGACCCGAGTTACATACGGGTCCTCCTACTCACGGGCTCTGATTTGGGTGGCACCTCCAGGCCTCCTCTTCCTCCATGGTAAGAGCAATGCTGCCTGTCCCACCAGGATGGGTGGGAGGATCAGAGCAGGCCACCCCTGGCTACTTGGAGGCATAGTAGCCATGTGAGTCCCCTTCCCCTTCCTGACATTCTGGACTCCTTATCAGAGGCTCACTTGGCTTCAGCAGGATCCCCCGCTGAGGTCAGAGGCATGCACTCTCATCCACACCAGCAACGTGGCCCAGAGTTGAGCAGTCCACCCCCTGAGCTACTGAGCCCCAAACCAGGAAAAAGCAAAGCTGGTCAGTGACGCTTGACGCCTGTCCTGGGGAATGGTGGTTGGGGACAACCGGAGGAAGAGATCCCGTGAACGGGAGCTACGAGCCACTGCTCCAACACCCTGCCAGGCAAAGGGCACCTAGAGGCTTGGGTTCCATTGGCATAAGCATGTGAGAAAGGTCGTTTTTCATGCTCATCTTGCAAATGGAATACCGCGGTTATTGAGAAAAAAATCTGGTGAATTGGGACATTCTGCCCACGTGTATACCAGCTCCAGGAAGTGGCCCGGCTTACCTGGTTATCACAGCCCTGCCAGTCTCATGACTGAACATGTATTTACCTGCCCCCAAGCAATCTCTTCTTCCTCCCCACATCCTCCTTTCTCAATATGGTGAATTATTACAGACCATACTAAAGGTATCATTAAGGAGACTGCTAGCGCTTCAAGTTAGGTTCAAGACTGGGCTTTACCATTCAGGAAGCGGCCTCAGGCATGGCACTTCCATGCTGTGACTCAGTGTTGCCAGCTGTAAAATGGGAATGATGTTGGACCAAAAACACGATGACAGTGAGTGACCACACCAACTGTATTGTAAAACATGTAAGGTAAAATCACGATTATCCATCCACTCCACTCCCTGGGGGGGCCTTCGCCTTGCCAGAAAGGAAGGCGAGGCGCCCTGGATGGGGGCGGAGGAGTGCCTGGTGCGCATACAAACCTTTTTTACTTATTCTGATTTCTAATTCGGAGGCACCTCCTTTTGAGCGGAGGCTCCAGGTCCTCGGGCCCGGCGCCCAGCAGGGGCGCGGGGATGATGCAGGGCGCCAGGGCCGCCTTCTCCGCGGGCTTGGGCACCGGCTGGATCACGCAGCCCGCCTTGGGCAGCATCCGCAGCGCGTACGCGTGGTCCTCGTCCGCGGGGTTGTTGAGGTTCGGGTCCGACTTGTCGCCCCCGGCCAGGGCCTCCTCTCCGGCCAGCTTCTTGGCCGCCTCGCCGTCCAGGTGGCGGTTGGAAGCGCAGTTGTTCTCCTTGACGGACTCGAGCTCGCTGAGCGCGGGCTCCTCGGGAGACAGCAGCTTCTTGGGGGGCGCGGGCGGCGGCGGCGGATGCTCCGGGGGCGGCTCCGCGCCCTTGGCCCCCTCGGCGGCGGCGGCGGCAGCGGCGGCGGCGGCGCGCGCGCCGTTCACGATGACGTTGCAGGCGGCGGCCGCCTCGGGGCCCGCGGGGGCGCCGGGGCCCGGGTCGCCGGCGGCGGGGGGGCTGCAGTGGCCGTCCCGGCAGCCGCCGCCGCCGCAGGTCCTGCCGCGCTCCGCGGCGCCCGGCTCGCGCTCCGCCTGGGCGTGCGCGTGCAGCGCGCGGTGGATCACGTTGTGCAGCCGCGCGCGGTGGCCCAGGGTCAGGTCGATGACGCCGTCCTGCGGGCCCTGCAGCCCGCAGCCCCCGCCGCCGCCGCCTCCGGGGAGGCCGCCCGCGCCCGGGGGGCTCCCCGCGCGCCGCGTCAGGTCCACCACCTCGGCCCGGCCGCCCTGCTCCGCGGGCGCCAGGCTCAGGGCCCGGCCCGAGCAGCCGGGCGGCGAGTCGGCGGCCTTGGACGAGCCCTGCTGCTTGGAGTCCCGGGGCGACAGGGAGCGCCCGCCGCCGGGCTTGCCTCCCGCCGCCGCCGAGGAGTCGCCGCCGGGGCTGGGGCCGGGGCCGGGGCCGGGGGCGCTCGGAATGAAGTTCTCCCCGTTGCTGGAAAACCCGTTGGGGGGCTTGGAATCATTGACGTGAGGGATGGGGATGGGGATGGGGATGGGCACGGGCAGCGGCACGATCACGGGGTATGGCACGAGCAGGGTGGGGGGCGGCACCAGCGGGGCCAGCGACGGCAGCCCGAAGTTCATCATCTGGGGCACGGGCAGCGGGCCGTTGGGCATCATGCTCACGGGCGGGAAGGGGAGGCTGGGCAAGGGCGGCGCGCCCGGGGGCGGCGGCGGCGGGGGCAGCAGGCCCCCCGGGGGGTTCCCGGGCATGGTCGGGGTGCTCGGCGGGTGGATGTGGGGCGACAGCATGGGCCGGTGCATGGGGCTGGACGTGGGGCCCAGGCTCCTGGGGCCGCCGGGGGGCGGGGGCCCGAGGCCCGGGAGCATGGGGTTGGACAGGGGGCTGTTGGGGTTGGAGGCGTGGTGCGGAGGCCCCCGGATGAAGGGCGGGCGGATCTGCTGCATGATCTGCTGCTCCATGAAGATGGGCAGCGGCACGGGGCCGCGGTTGGTCATGACCATGGGAGGGCTGCGGGGCGGGACGCCCAGGGGGGGCCCGATGCCAGCAGGTGGCTGGACGGAGACGGGAGGCAGGCTGGCAGGCTCGCCACCCATGGGCATGGACTTGGGCACGGGCGTGGGGATCTTGGTGATGGAGCAGTTGGCAGTGTCGGACGGAGAGCCGGTGGTGGAGGTGGACGCGGATGGGCCGGGGCCCTGGCCTTGGCCAGCGGCAGCCCCCGGGGACGGGGCCTTCCTCCGAGCATCTGCGAGGGGAAGATTCCAAGAGTCTGGCGTGAGCAGCTGCACTCCGGCGCCTTCTGCTTTGTTTTCCAGGGGAGGGTGCAGCGCGCCGCACAGCCCAGCTGGGAGGTTGGCCTGCGTCTCTTTGTAGAAGATGTCCATTTTGTACTGATTGAGGCATTTGGCGCTGCAGAACTGAAGCCTTCTTTCCCCGTCCCCAAAGTCCAGATATTCTTTTGTGTGTCTGATGTGCTTACACCAGTCACATACCTACAACACAGCAATAGAAAGAAAAAGTAAGAGAATAAAAAAGCAATGCCCTTGGGTAGATGGCGCTTCACGCTTCCCGTACAGATTTCTTTCAAACTTTATCCCAATTTCTCAAACAGGCCGAAAGGGTTTCCTTTCAAAAGGGACAATTCTTTAAACGTTTGTAAAGTGATTTCTCCCTGGAAGCCAGAATTTCTTTATTAATATTAACTCTTCAGAATAACAATTATCACCATATCCTATTTTTTTTTTTAAGGGAAATTGTTTTTCCCTTTAAGGTGGATCGGACAAAAAAGGAATACATATACCTGCCCACACATTTTCACCTGTCAAAGACGCTCATCATAAATGCAAAGTTAATAGTGTTGGAGAGAAGGATTCTCCAGAATGTTCCATGGGCTTTGAAATAGCCCCTTAACATTCTGCTCATGCAAAGTCACTTTGCACTATTGACTGCGCTCGATAATGCAGTTGGAAAGGGTGTGCTGTGTTAACCAATAACACAAGCGCCCGGCATCATTCTGTCTGCCTTCCAAGGGGAAACTTGGAATTGGTCGTGAAGTCTGTGTGAGGTTTAGCTCTTCCCAACCTGTGATGTTGCAGCAAGCTAGAATTATTTTCTGAGCTGTTTGCCCACTCTCTCTCAGTAGTCAGAATTTTTGGTGACATTTCTTGGCACGCGATCTTATTTAACAACTTTTCAAACACCAGAGACCGCTTTCCAAAGTTGTTATGGCTTTTTCCCCCCTCTTCAAATCTACTCCTGGCAAAAGAAAGGCATCACCAAATTTATTTTAAAGTTGGGCTGCAGAACAAATTAAAGGCTGAGAGCTTTTCCCAATTGGAAATCACTAGACATCAAAGTTCAAAAAATAGTCATTCTCGGCTTCAGAACCCATTACTTTGGAGAAATTATTGTGATTTCATTAACACATTAATTTTGCAACACCATCAGCTCTCACAGATGGTGAAGGCATGATCTACAATTCAAATATGACTCTTGTTTGCACAAATGTCTTCCCTTCATATGGCATTTTAAACAAGAATTAATATGAGTAATCTTGCCATAGCTATAAACAGATAAACAGATGTCAAAATTTTCAATAGTTCTTTCAGTGTCTTACTTTTTTGACTGAACATTACACACACACAATTTTTTTCCTTTCTCTTGTTCTTTATTTTTTAAATTATTTTCTGAGCACCCAATCAATCCACACAGCAGCATTCTGAAATGCAGTGCAATGGTGAGTCCACTGAATTGAGTCTCTCCTCTCTAAAGCCCTGGTTCCAATATTGTTCTAAATTGAACCCTGCTTTTGTTGAGGAAGATCTCTGCTGGTCCCTTGTTATTGTTTTTTTTTTTTTAAACTATGATAAATTAATAGCATTAAAAGATAATAAATTTCAATAATGATTGGTCACATCAACAATGCAAAAACAACATATGCTGAGCATTTGATTATTCATCTCATTTAACTCTCAGCTTTCCTTGACTGTAAACAGTGGTGGCATGCCAGTGTGTGATTGTGGGTGCACACACTCACCACAGATGTGGGTATGTAAGTGGAAATTCACTCTTTTTCCTCTTACTTCCCCCTCCACTGATATCTGCAGGTAATATACTTCACAGTGTGAGGCTGAATAAGAAATACTTATTGGCACAAATTAGTTTTTCTGTTTGGCCTCATATTGAGTTACTCTTTCAAAATACTTGCTGCCAAAAAACAAATAATTTCAATGTTAATATACTCCCATGTCTCACTATAGTGTTTCAGTTTTCTCCAGAATTAAGGGAACTTTTTTAAAAATCATAGTTGAGATGTCTAGTTTACACATAAATACACAATTGCCTCTGATGAGAAACACACAATCTGGCAGACTCTCAAAATTATCATCTAGAAGATTAAATAAGATATAGTGGAAACTTTACACATGTAAGTTATTTTTAAGATCTGATATTTTTATAAAGTTAATGTGTAATGATATGACATCTGAATTTCAATATGAAATAAAGCCAATTTTAGGCATCCGTCATTAAAAGCCTACAGTACCAATTTATAAGCCTGAAGTGAAGGATCACATATGACTTCTTTAATCATGACTAAAAAATATCATCAATGAATTAAACTAATTGAAATTATATGCCAAAATTTCTGACATATTTCTTTTGGATCTTCTTTTTTAACCATAAGGGGAAAGAGTTTTCTGAAATCCTTAATTGGTTCTTAAATTGCCAGATTGGATTATTTGTCTGCAGAGGATTCCTCTGTTTCCTCAAGCCAAATAAATATTTTCAAGTGGAGTCACAGAAAATAATCTAAATATAACTTAAATGTTCTCCCATCATTTCCTTTACTTTCAATAATTCATCGATGAGTAAGAATTGCTCATACATCTACCCCAAATATCAAATAGGTAGTCTCCACTATAACACGATTAACTACAGACATCAAATTTCCAAGCAAAATTCTGTTTCATCAAACTTTCCAGTTAACAAAAAAGCCTAACACTTAGCTGCTTGATTTTCTGCAACATCACAAAGTATGTAGGTAATACTATCTCGTTTTGGGTAATGTGAGTGTGAATGTGTGTGTGTATCCTTATTACATTTCCATTTAGAACACCGATCTAAAAATACAAAAAAAGCCATCTTTCTGAGGAAGCAAAAAATTATTAGAGAAAAAAAAAAGTCACTTAAGACATAATGAATCAAGTCTCTAACAGGAGACATAATTTAAGATGAGGTCAATGAATTTATGGCACAAATGGCTATATCATGTGAGGCAATAAAACGCAGTACCATCATTCATTCGACATCTAACTAATGGCACACTTCTAGTAATTAAAGATTTCATCATAAGAGCCTGAGCTGATTACTTAAGATGTGGTAGTTAGGTGGAAATACTGTAGATCTCTCTCTTTAATAAAATAACATTTATATATCCATGGGATACACAGCATGTCTGTCAAGAACTAGGGTTGTCTGAATTGTGGTGTTATGAGGTATCCTTCCCTCCTTTTTCCACAGATGGCTTTTTTTTTTTTTTAAACGTTGTAAGGCATTTTTTCCTCATTATGTCAAGAAGTACCAAAAACCTTTCAGATATTTTAAGAGATAAAGATTAAGAAGTGCAGAGCTCCACTCCCTGGGCTCTGGGATGGTTTCCGCTCATTCCACGCCGGCTTTGTTTCTGTTGGAATCTGGCCGCTTCGGTTCCACTCTCTTCCTAACAGGTCCCAGATTGGACAGAGCTCAGGCTGATGCTGTTTAACGATGGCAATCTGGGGACCGAACAATCAGCTCATGCAAGGCCACTGAGCGAGACAGCTGAAATGCTTCGGATCCCAGATACATAATGTATCACCAGGACGACAAAAAGATCACAAAGGAGATAAACAAATGGGTATTCCATTCAACCCCGTAACAGCAGTCCTCACAAAGATTACCTTCACCTTCCTGGGATGTGTCCAATTCTAAACAACAGAATGAACATTTCCTCTAGTCCATTTAGACTATTTATATTTTGGTGGCTGGCTGCCAGGGCAGTACTTATAAGCTCAGTGGCCTGATGGATTCACTCCTTTCCTGTGAAATAAATGTGTGGCAACCTACACCGCTAAACGGCTCCAAAGACACCGCCTCAGCAGAAATATCACTTGCTCTCAAATACAAGGAAACTGAAAGGCAGGACTTCTGGTTCCTATAACTCTTTCCATCTTGTATTTCCCCTGGAAAGAAAGAAAGCTATTCATGTTATTTTTATATACACGTCCGAAGTCAAAGCCAAGGTATGCCATAAGGTTACCCACATGGGCACAATATACACATTCTGCTGGGCTGGAGAGAAGATTTGGGTGGCTGGGGGAGGGGGCCAGGGTTCCTAATTAGCACATTAATCAGCTGTCAGCTGTGAGAGTGAAGTTCATTCTTTAATGGAACCCAGCACTGTCTTCGGAGTGGTAATCTGGCATCAGGCACTGTTTCATTAAGAAACCCCTTTGCTGACATCTTTCTTACCTCGGCAAAGACATTTTCAGCAATGGAAAATAAGAAGACATTAATAATCCTTTGGATGCCATCAACAATTTAAAAAAAACAAAACAAAACCTTCACATACTCCTGACTTTCCACAAATATGCCTTGAAGGATTTGAGCCCACAGCTGTAGTCACCTTACGTAAGTTGAGGGCCTCAAGACTGACCCCACCTGAACACTTGCTTCTAATTTGACCCTCGAGTCCCATGGTCCCACCATCAACTGTTCCTTTGCATTTAGATTCTACCTCCATCAGGGCACTGGGGAGGCAAAGGATGCTGTGGAAATCACGTGGGATATGGAATCAGAAGATGTGGGTTTGACCCCACTGTTTATTTACTAGCAGTGAAATCTTATGGAGATCTCAGCATCAGTTGCTTCCTCTGAATGGAGCTAATAGTGGTAACAGGTACTGCTTGTGTGTCAGGCATTTGCAGTGCATTCTTTCAGTCCTTAGCCTGTTTCCCTCATGTTTGCTGATGTCCCAGGAACATCCCACATGTTTAAGTTCATTTTAATTTAATGGAAGGGTGTCTCTATGGCAGTGTAAGGAGGAAAAGGCAAATCTTCACCCACAGCTTTCCTATGAGCCTGCTCTGTTTTAAGACAGAATGGTGCATGCTTCTCTCTGGGCAAGTACACGCAGCACCTGGCAGACACCAGCCCTCCACCCCACCTCTAGGAAACGGTCCCAGAGATAACAGAGGGGCTGTCTACAGTGACAAGGAACCACGTCCAGCTGCCTGAGCACACTCTATGCAACTCCTGCTGAGCTACCTTCTTTTTCCAAAGCCAGTCAATCTCTAATTCAGGCAAAGGCTGATAAAACAGCACGGCTGCTTGGGAATGAGTGTGAGAACCATTAAAATGAATAATTCCTCTTAGGCTCAACTGCTGTTTGAATAGTGGAAGCCATAACTGTGCTACTCATGTTTTATTAAAAAGTAGAGCTGATGAGCGATCC